TTACTTCGAAAGATTCCGTAAGTTTCTCGTTGTGAATTACTTGGCGACATGCAGCATTGTCGAACAAGTAACTGTTGGATGAGATGTATAATTGTCGATGGTACCCCATGGTGGTATCGAAGTAGTTTCCAAAACACCTCTCGATCGACGCTATCGAATGCCTTTTCAAAGTCAATGAAGTTGAGTGAGAAAGAGGGGTGACTGCCATTCTAAGTTTTGTTCAATGATGATCCATAGTATGGCAATTCAATCAATACATAACATGTTTCTCCTGAATCCAGCCCACCTAGAAATGAAGTAAAATTAACAAGTCTTGAATAAAAAACATCAATTATGACAATGTGTGTATATGTATAGACAGTGGACATAAGGTGGATTTTGACAATGTTGAAATACCAGTGAAAGACTTTTATTCACCCCATATAAAGAAAGGTTGACCTCTAAAACCTTGCATATTTTAACTTCATTAGATGCAATGAACAGGATAGAAAAGGCATAGACTTATCACCTATATGACAAATTCTTATGAAGCAAAACAGATGAGAGGAAAATATTCAATCTTATATTATCACCACTGTAAAAAATATTATCATGTTTTGACATGTTTCTCATACAGCAAACAACATGCTCACACACGCACAGACTCAAACAGACAAATATGACAATTTGAAATTATGATAGTTACTAAAAATCTGGATAATTTTGCTGCCGAAGAAACTGTGACTTACATAGTGAAATGTCCATAAAGCAGGTCTTTTTATTTTTAATTTTGTTTCTTTTAAACACGCCTTATTATTATTATTTTAAGTAATTTATAAAATTAGAGTGGTTTAAACTGGTTCAGCTCTTTGAGTTTACTGGATTTCATCATGATCTGACATTGGTCAGAAAGCCAGCCATTGGAAAATTAGGTAGGGCGTGCTGGGCAACTGTTTCTTCCGCTTAGTTTGGGACTTTTCAACAGTATGCTCCCACACTGTAGAATTCTAACACAGGACCTGCCAGTTACAAAGCGAGCTCGTAAACCATTAAGCTACTGGGGGGATTTTGATGAGCTTAGCGCCAGAAGAGGGAAATCGGTTAATTAGTGTGAGCAACAATAAAACTGTGGTGGAAACATTTTCCAAAGGTTTTAGCGCTCTATCATCATTGTATAAAAAGTATATACTAGGCATCTTAACAACATCAAACGTCTGTTTCATTCGTTTGTTGTCAAGCTGGTCAGTGATGTGTACATCGCTCCGAATTAGTCTCGGATGGTTTGAAGTAATTCGCCTATCTACGCTAAGTCAAATTTTTTATTTCCTTCACGTTCCCCTGTGGAACATAGGGTGGCTTCAAGCTGGAGGCTTGGAGTTTCTGTAGCAGTGTTTATTTTTACAAGATGGGGTTGCTAGCAAGCCTCATGCCCAACCTTCCCTCTTTACCAATCTTATTACTGGGTAAGTGAGGTAAAGGAGTGCGTTGGCAGCCAGGAATCGAACCCCCGACCATGTGCATGGGTTGGCGAGCATGCTAACCGCTGTGCCACCGACGCACTAAGTCAAATTAGATATTCTGTTGATAAACTCGCCCCCAAACGAGAGAAATGGTGGTCTAGTGTTTACATTACTTGAATCTACACTACTTAGGACAAGTGGGATGTAACTACTCATACCAGTCAACTAGTAGTATAATACGTCATGCTACATACTCGATTGCTTATTATTATTATTATTCTCTTGGGTCCCGAGTGGAACATACAGCTTTAACAACACATCTCCACTTTGTTCTGTATTCTGCTGTCCTCTTCGGCTGGGTTCACGATTATGCAAAATCTCTCATCTCCCTTCTTGACCTCCTCCTCCTCCTCCTCCTCGTCCATGTCACCCTCACACCAACGACCCGACCCACTCGCCGCTTCCTATTCGGGTTCCAATCATGTGATGGCTTGCATTGCGCGTGATATCATTCGACGGTCTCCTCACTGTATGCCCGATTCATCCATCTCCATTTTCTCATACATATTTATCGAGAAGTCAGCTCTTGGTGGTTGGGTTTGTTTTCTCCGTCACAGTTTCTTGTCGCTAAGTCTTTCTGACCAGCTGCCGATTTGATCTTCGGTATGGAGCCAATGAAGGCAGCTGTTAATATAAGTCTGCAATGGTCTGTTGGGACTGTTGCTTTTCAGCATGTACACGCCAAGTTTCTGATGTATATACAGAAGAACTGACCGACTTCACATTTGTGTTGAAAATCTGAATCTTGTTCTTTGTGATGTTGAGGTGGCGTGCAGAAGATTTTCAAAACTGATGAAGTTATATCTTGTCTTTCTGATTGATTTCGACTTTCTCATTGTTGGTACTGACTGCCTGTAGTTGAAATGTTGCCGGTGTCTAGATAAGTAAGTTTCTCTCGTCCATAACGATTGATTACTCTTATCACAATAGAACTTGGTATTGTAACAACAGAAGACAAGGGCCAGGAAACAGATCATCTATATGTTAACTGTGTCCGCCTACGCGAAGCCTTTGTTCTCATTTCTCTCACAACCAATATTTGGGACATAAACATTGACGTAAATTACTGTCCACCGGTGAATGAACCGGACTCCGGTCACCGGCTGCCAATGGATAGTGGACTCCCTACTCCACTCCTACTGCCTTGTAGGTCACACTTGGTTGTGTAAAGGCTACAGCTGCACTCTCAAACAAAGGCCGAGCGATGCTGGGGACATCACTCGTACCCAATTCCCATGAAACTTCATGGTTCATGAAGCCGGTTCATCCTCCCGTAGGAGATAGCCGAAGTAAAGTAAAGTAAGTAAGTACTGTCCACCGATTTGGACTAACAGCCAGCTCTCACCACACTCGTCAAAGACTTGCTACTGAAGTTGGTTCGGTCTTCTTGGTTGTAGTGGCTTTGCTCGTTTGTGTTGCTGTCTGAAATCTCGCCACTCTCAGATGTTCACCTGTTTCTCTTTGTTTACCATTGCAATTGTGTCTGCGTAACCCCATCTCAACGTGACCATATGTGGTCCTTCCCACTTTTGAAACTGTTTGCCTGACTCTGTCTCACATTCGTCAGTATTTCACCTCACGCTTTCATATGCTGCTATCTCTCGACCTCCCAGCAGCGTCCCAAGTAGTAACCTCATCGCTGACAGGACTTTAGCTTGACTAATATAGTATCTAAAGTCCTAGGCTCAATAATCATGCGTAGACTGAGTGGTGCTCGGGAAGCACAAACACGAGAGAGCCAGACAGGCTTTAGACCAGGAAGAGGGTGTATTGATCATATCTTCACCCTCCGACAGATTCTAGAACATAGGCATTCCTACCGGCGCCCAACAGTCATTATATTTCTTGACCTAAAGGCAGCATTCGACTCTGTCGATCGGGAAGTTCTCTGGAGATGCTTGGCTGTAAAGGGAATTCCAAGAAAATATATTGCACTGATTAAGGCACTCTATTCGTACTCATACAGCCAGGTGAGGGCTTACGGCGAGCTGTCATCTGAACTGATGACGACCAGTGGTGTCCGTCAAGGATGTCCATTATCTCCTTTTCTATTCAACTTCATCATAGATGTGTTAATGGACTTAACCCTAGGTGACTTCAGTGACTCAGGAATTGACTTGCTACCGGGGAATAATCTCGTTGACTTGGAATATGCAGACGATATAGTCCTTCTAGGCGAAGACGCTGACGAAATGCAGAGTCTTCTAAACACCTTGAGCCGCAATCTACGAATGTTTGGCATGCGATTCGCTCCTGCGCAAATGCAAGATGATGTTACAGGACTGGACTGGACTACATCGACGCCTAGTTTAAAAATAGGAAGTGAAGTGGTAGAGCACGTTGATCGCTTCACTTATTTGGGAAGTACCATCAGCCAATGCCAACGGGTTGATCTCTGACGAAATCTCAGCACGAATACAAGGGGCTCGTTTCGCATTTGCGAGTTTACGCCGACTCTGGCGTAGACGAGATGTTCGACTATCGACCAAAGGGCGGGTGTACTGCTCATCAGTCCGCTCCGTCCTCCTTTATAGTTGTGAGTGAGACCTGGCCACTGAGAGTGGAAGACATGAAAAGACTAGCTGTCTTTGATCATAGGTGCCTGCGCTCTATTTCCCGTGTAAAGTGGCATAATAAGGTGAGCAACATGGAGGTTAGGCGTAGAGTTCTAGGTAAACAGGGGAAATCAATCGACGAAGTCGTGAAGCTACAAAGACTGAGATGGTTAGGACATGTGTTAGGTATGCCAAGTCATCGCCTCCCTCGACGAGCAATGTTAGCGGATATAGAGTCAGGCTGGAAAAAAGCTAGCGGCGGTCAGACAAAAACTTGGCCTCACCAGTCAATGAAATCCACAACAGTTGGTCTAAGCCACGTAGGAAGGTGTAGACTTCCAGGCTGGGGTCCTCGGGACGGTAAAAATCTATGGTTGGAAACAATTGGTGACATGGCTCAAAATCGTTCTCAGTGGCGCAGATGCATCCACTGCTTGTGACTTATGATCTTCAATGAAACTGTTTTGTTCTTCGTTATTACTCCTTTATCTCACCCCTCTGCTCACAGTTTCTATTATGCTTTTGTTGTACTTTCTTCTCTTGCTTCGCGTGCTACACGGAGTGTGGCGACTTGAACTTCCGCACATTTGTGCAGAGTTCTATGTCGAAAACAGACAGACAGATCTCGAACGCCACTCAGTTGCGCAGAAGCCTCGAAGTCCTGCCCGAAGATCCATATATCTCCATCAAAAACTGCAGGACATAGGCTTTCTATTTGTCGGTAGGCAGCGACACCAAATGTAACAACAAAAGACAAGGGCCAGGTAACAGATCATCTCTATATTAACTGTATCCGCCTACGCAAAGCCTTTGTTCTCATTTCTCTCACGACCAATATTGGGGCTATAAACATTGGCTAACAGCCAGTTTTCACCACAGTATTTACACAGAAAGAAAAACTATTAAAATAAATTCTAATTATCATCATCATTATTTTTCTTTTCAGCATTCACAGCCCCACATCTTTATTGCCTAAAATCTTTATATTACCACCAAGTGATCAGATTACATTCTATCGTCTACTTACGGATGGTTTATACAAACGTGGCTTATTATCGGATCAGTTGATGAATGCAGTGAATGAATTCCTCCCTCAATCGTCAACAGGAAATTCTCGAATTGTTGTCCCATCGGAATCAACCACTGGAACATAGAGAGAGACAGAAATAGCGCGATAATTGTTTTTCGTCATTTGATAATGAATAGTCTTCATTTATCGATTTGTGATTATCTCACCGTCATCATCATCACCGTCATTATATCGATTATTTCTCTATAGTGAGTTTTATTTGTTGTGAAATGCTGCATAGTTAATGAATTATTTAAAAATGCAAAGCTACTACTCCTTCTACTCTACCAATCTCCTACTCATACTAATACTAATACTGGCATTTGTTTGTAGAACACCCTCGTGAATACCTACATCCCCTCCACTGATGATTGACTCATTGCCTCACAGACACACACCCGCACACACTGAACTATATTCATCAGCCATGCGCGTATACACAATCATCGTGTCATTATATTGTCATAGTTACATGCATACCAACAAACAAACATAAAATCGATATTTTAGAAGTACACACAGGCATTTGCCTTGTTTTTGTTGTTATTTATTATTGTTGTGTCTTCTCCTGTTTCTTAACCTTTTAACCTTTAAATGATGATATTGTGGCAACACACAACTCCACATTTACTTACAAACATACATCTCCTCTCTGTGGATGTTATATAGTTTTTTTCTTAAGTGAATTGTCTACCTCTTCGTGCGTGTATGTGTGTGTCCGTTCATCGTTTTACTTCTCATTTAGTTTGTGTGTGTGTGCGTGCGTGTGTCTGTGTATGTATGTCTGTATCTGTGCTATTTCCCCCACCCCACCCCGCATACTCATACATTCCCTTAATGATCAGTTCTGTGTGAAACATACTGCTCCAATGCCTTTTGAGGCTTTTACTGTCGGCGGAGAATAATTGAACTGCGCACCACGTGTGTCTCTATGTGTATCTGTCTGTGTGTACCAGTGTGTTTGGTTGGTGAGGTGCATTGTCCTACACCCCTAGTGAACCAGACACATCAATTGCTTTTATCTTTTCATTTTTTTAACAATTCATGTGTATACTACTCATTATCTTTATCAGTAAGCTGAATGCTTCATTGATTGATCGATTGATTGATTTATTGTTATCTGTCTGCATAGCTGTGTGCGTGTGTGTGTGTGTGAGCGTGGCTGTTGTTGTTGTTGGTGGTGGTGTTGTCACGGTATTTTCCACATATACGCATCATTTTCGCTTTTATTCTAATAATGAAATGCAGAAAGATAACCACAATAGAGCTGCTATATATTATATCGCTGTTACTAAAAGAGGAATAACCATTATACTACTGTTGTTGTTATTATTATTACTATTATTCATTATTCTTGCCACACTATGGTAATCATCATTCATTTAAGTGTAAGACATTCTATCTATATTATACTGTGATTATTGTTGTTATTCCTATTATTATTGTTGTTATTATTATTATTTATTACTTCATTTGTGCATTCAGTAATTTGCAAAAAGAGTTACAACAAGAGTGTGTGTGAGAGAGAGAGGGAATTCCGATGCATTAATACGTCTTTTTTTCCTTATACCTTCACGTTCCCAGTGGAACATAGAGCACCTTCAGGAAATAGAGGCTTGAAGTTTCGGTAGCAGTGGGGGGGGGATATTTAAGTTTTACAGGATGAGGTTGCTAGCCAGCCTCATACCCCCCAACCTTCCTTCTTTACTGGTCTTGTTTACCAGCTTAGCGAGGTAAAGGCTAGCAGGCTGCTCTCACCACACTCGTCCCCCCGTCAAAGACTTGCGACTGAAGTCGGTTTGATCTTCTTGGTGCAGGCGTCATCGTTGGCTTGTCTCGCTGTATCCATTTCTGGAGCTCGCTGAGGTTCACGCGCCTCTCATTGTTCGACATTGCGATTGTGTCTGCGTAACCCCATCTCGAAGTGACCATATGTGGTCCTTCCCACCTTGGAAACTGTTTGCCTGACCCTGTCTCACATTCGTCGGTATTTCGGCTCACACTTTCATATACTGCTGCTGCTGCTCACCACATACATACTTCAATTGGATTGAAGTCATCCTTCCTGGTGAAGTGACCCCTTCATCGTCGTGATTGCTTGTTTTTGTGTGTTTTCACACCCTCTAGACTACTTTTATTGGTACTGATTGTTTTCTTGACCTGAAGTTTGACCCTCTGTGTGTGTGTGTGAGAGAGAGATTTCCTTCTTATCGGTTGGTAAATTTTGGCCATTTCTATTTGTCTATTGATTGACGATTCACTGGAATACCAGTCTATTAGTAAAATTCCCTAGCATTCTCGGTGTTTCCTCTCTCCAATATTTGAACGTTATCCCAGTCGAATTGATGTCCGTGGTTGTCTGTATGTAATGATATGAGTGAGGGAGTGGATATTATGTCTTTTGACGGCTAGTTTTCATTTGTGCATGCAGAAACGAAGAGGTTGTTCACTTTGGCCAATGTAGTGTTTTTCGCATTTGTTGAATTTTATTTTGCAGATGATGTTGGTTTAATCTTCTTTCGTTGTTGAGTCGTTTGGTTAACACGGAGCTAAGTGAAGTGATTTTGTTGGTGCTTGTGTGTGTGTGACATCAATTCCCAAATCCTTGAAGAGTCTCACCGTTATTTATGAGACGTTCTGTGTGTAAATGGTTTTCATTGGGGCGTTTGATTTGGTTGGTTGGCCTGAGGGCCTGGGTAGATGTATTTTATTAAGGTTTTGTGCATATCCATGCATTCTTTTGGAAGACGTCTATGAGATATTTTTCTTTAATTTTCGTTAAGTGTAGGAGTGCTGCAATGCACCTCTTGGATCTCTTGACTAGTGTTTGTCTGCAAATCTTTTTGTGTCTTATTAGGTTGTTGCTGTTGTGTAATTGAGTATTTGGTCTGTGTGGGTTGATTTTCTGTAAACATTCGTTTCTAATTTTCCTGTGATTGTTCTCTTGACCAAGACATCCAAAAATGGAATTTTCTCCTCAGATTCCTCTCCTCTTGTGAATTCGAAGTAGTTGAAGATGTTCTTTATTCAGTTTTGATTATCACAAATGTATCACCTAAGTAACGTATACAAATTTCGGGTTTGATCTTCGGTAGGATTATGTTTTCAAGTCTTTGCATCACTGCTTCTGCACCCGAACCTGATATGAGCAATCCCGTAGGTGACTGACTCTTGAAGTTGTTCATATATTTGGCCTTTTAATTTAAAATACGTTGTTAGACATAGGTTTATGTATTCCATTCAACTTGTGTATTGTGGTGCTGCTGGGTGGGGGTCGATCTTCGTTGTTGAGTAACTTCTCCATGGTTTCTTTTCCTAGTTTCTGTCCAGTTGAAGTATATAATGCTGCTACACACTCTAGGATGAATGTTCCTACAGGTTACATAACATATCGCTTGGAGGAAATTGTTTAGTCCTGTAGTGGTGAACAGTATCATGGATATTTGAAGGCGAAGTCGTACCGGTGGCATATAGGGTTTTAGTAGTATGGTATGTGCTGCTGAAAAAATTACTTAGTAGTGTATACAGAGGCCTCCAAAGCCTCAGGATGGTCGGGGGTGGGTGCTTTGCGCTGCGGGTTGGCCACCCCTCCGCACACCTCTTGAAATGCTCCCATATGACCGGGCGTCTTACATAGCCTCTCCTGAGGAAGTCCTACTCACTGCCTTCACGTGGCGGAGGTGTTTCTCACCAAAGTGAGAGGGCGAAAGCGGATGCCCGGCGCTCTCCACCGGGTTGACTGTCCATTGGATGACAGTCTAGGGGAGATGGCTAAACCCTGATTCCAAACCTCCAACGATTGGCGTATGAAGCTCACTGGAGCTCACCGGCAGACGTATGGACAAAGGGCTTGTTGGATGTCCTGGATGTCTGGCCCCATTCAAAAAGGCGTATGAACCGAACTCCGGTCACCGGCTGCCAATGGATAGTGGACTCCTTACTCCACTCCTACTGCCTTGTAGGTCACACTTGGCTGTATAAAGGCTAGAGCTGCACTCTCAAACAAAAGGCCGAGCGATTCTGGGGACATCACTCGTACCAAATTCCCATGAAACTTCATGAACTCTCTTACAAATTGCCGCGCCTGGGCAGCGATGATTCGAGACGTTCATGAAGCCGGCTCATCCTCCCGTAGGAGATAGCCGAAGTAAAGTAAGTAAGTAAGTGTATACAGACGCAGATTGACAGAAGGTAGACAAAGTTTAAAAAAAAACATTCTAAGTGAAAGGCTACAGAAGTGGAAGAAGCGTGGATCCAGCTTACTTTAGGGTTAGAAAATAGTCTCAGGGGTTAAATTTCATAAAATCATCAACCAATCAGAGCATTTTATTATCCACTGACCTAACCAACTTTATATGTAACTGGAAACGTAGAAATGTGGTGTGTTTTACCTTAATCGAGAAGTCGGTTACGAAGGCTTTTATCTTCTCCCCGTTGCAGTAAGATCGGAGAGCCAGTTGTTGTTGTTGAGTCTCCGCTCTGAGGAGGAGCGTGATGTTAGAAAAGATCAAATCTAATCATTGTGTATTTCTAGTTGCTTTATGGCATCCTGTAACCATCAAAGGTGTAAGGTCTTCTTACCAGAATATCTCTAAACAAACCATGTTTGAACAGTCTCGAATAATTGTTCTCTGGGTTCTTTGATCACGTGACATTTAATACCCCTCTGTTTCACTTGATTATCTCCTGCTGTCTGTCACTGTTTCAAATACTTTAAGATACAATCGATTTTATCAGAGTGAGCATCTAGGAGCTAATGACTGCGCGCACACATACTTCCTGTTATGACGGGAACTACGTCCTAGTAGACTGTGAGCGAATACTAAGTTAATGTGCTGACTGATCTGTCCCTAATTACACGTCAACAACAACACCGGCAGCACACAAAGACAAAGGAAAAGAATAGACGTCGATAAGAGAACTATTACTTTCTCAAACAACATTGAAAATCTAGACAGAATAACCTTGGGAATGCGCATTAAAAGTATTAACAGCCAATAAGAATCCAACAATCCAAACGGATGGGAAAAACAAAGGAATCATGCCAGTGCGCGATAACTCCTTAAATTAGCTATTAATTCAAGG